GATAGAGCAAGCCGCGACATGAATATGTGTAGTGGGGGTGAAGTGTCCGATGGTGAAGAATATCGGAGATGAGGTTAATTGGAGAAGATGGGTTGTGGATCTCGTCATGGCCGATTTGGACTGCTTAGAGTTAGAGTTAGAGGCTTTCTGTGGTGGTTGCTATGGAGTTTGGTGATTTTGGTGGATAAAAGTGGCTCTTCACGTGTGGGACTCGTGTTAGTTTTGTTTAACCCGAATCTCTTTGATTGGGTTAGTTGGACTTCGATTTTAGTTCAAAGTTGGCCTCTGTAATCTTAACGATTTGTAGATTTGGCCCAGTTTTGGGCTCCTAATGAAATCGGAGACGACAAAAACAAAAAGTTGAAACGGCTGTTGCCGGTTTATAATTGAACGGGGTGAACCGGCGGCCAATTTTACAAAACCAACAAAAAACTGAGGGTAAACCGGAAACATATGAATGAACGGCCACGATGTGACGATGGAACTGCCAAAAGAGAACAGAAACCCTAATTATCTCTCTGTCTCTCTCCATATATATAATAAACTCTTCCTTCACCTCCTCCGCCTTCATTTTCGCTTTTTCTCCCAAACACTCAAAAGCCGTCATAGCTTGAAGCTTCCTGCTCCTCGAATCCTCTTGGTACTCTTCTTTCGACGTCTCTGTATCGTTTGTCTTGCGTTTAATTTCATTTCTGCTAACATGATTTCCTCTTGGCTTCGTATTAAAGCAGAAAAATGAAGGTTGTCGCTGCTTTCCTCCTCGCCGTTCTGGGCGGAAACGCTAATCCTTCTGCTGATAAAATCAAGGATATCATCGGATCTGGTAAGTTTGTGTTTCGAATTTTGAACCAGTGATGATGAATGTGTTTGACTGGTTAGATTGTGTCACTGGGAACGCCGAATTAGATGCGATTATGGATTGTTCGAAAATGATTAGCTTTTGTTTATTTTTGGTTTTAAGAGTTTAGTATGATTCCTAGATCTGAAGGTAAAGATTTTATACTTTGCATATCAAAGTGATTTGATGTTGGTGATTTCGATGGTTTAATAGTATTAAGATTACTGATTAAGAGAAGAGATTGATAAGCCTTGTGCTTCTTCTGTCTCAGAATTTACTTGCTTCTTTGTATAGCGAAATGTGAGTTCATTGTGTATTGTTGTTTTTTTTGTAGTTGGTGCTGATGCCGATGCAGAGAGCATTGAGCTTCTTCTCAAAGAAGTGAAGGGTAAGGACATTGCCGAGCTTATTGCAGCCGGTAGAGAGAAGTTGGCGTCAGTGCCATCTGGTGGTGGTGTGGCTGTTTCAGCCTCTCCATCAAGCGGTCCTGCCTCTACTCCTGCAGCGGAAGAGAAGAAAGAAGCCAAGAAGGAAGAGAAAGAAGAGTCTGATGATGTAAGTGTTTTCTCTTCTTAGCACTCTTGTCTCCTTCTTGCTCTTTCGTTACGATTATGATCTCGGATTAGCTCTCGATTTTCCATCCCTGACTCTACTGGTTATGTCACTCAATTTTGATGCAGGACATGGGATTCAGTCTCTTCGAGTAAGAGTTTCGCCACGGAATTGAGTCGAGATTTGACTGTATGCAGTTGGTGGATCTTGTTTTTGCTTCCTTTTTGTGCTCTTGTATTTCGCTGCTATCAAAGATTCTTGGATCACATATTTTACCCCTTAGATATGAAATCCAGTAGAATATTTCTATCTTATTTTGGCATTTTCTTCGGATGATTTACAATTACAATCGTTATGCGTCTGTGTTTCTCTATGACTTGGTAAACAAATCTGGTATTAGCCTGTGGTTTTACATCTTTCCTACTATTATCATAATAACTGAAATGTCTTAGACGTAAAGGTTAACCTGTTGTTTTTCAGACGTTATTAGTAAATCACAGATAACTAAATGATCAAGACCCATGTAAATTTAAGATATTGTGTTAAAGTTATGAATGTGTCTTAGACTCTAGGCTATCATCGTATTAGGTAGTCCGTCACAAAAATAATGGGACTATAATGTCAAGTTAACTCATCTTCACTAATTGGTTTTGAGTCTGACATAAGTCCATGAAACTTAATAAATTTAGAAGAACGTATCACCGATTACAAGAAAATGAAGATATTCACCAAGTATTTCCATAAAGTTGTTAAACGAAATTAAAAATAATGTTACATAGCATCAAAAGATGATGCCACAAGAAGCAGAAAAATCAACGAAATACAAGTGAATGATGATAGTTACAATACAAGGAGAGAGTTAGAGCAAGGGTATTACAAACGTAGTCAATGAAATATATACTTTAACATATATAGGTCTATGATGAGAGGAATCAGTGATATGATTGTATCCTTAATA